TTTTCCAGCCACATCAGCCTCTTTTAGCTCACATGATCAAATGTTCACTTTGTCTGGTTTTGTTGCAGTCTGCCCCATATAGTAATAGTATCAGCAAAAGATTACCAATGAATGCAATATTAATATTAATATACTATTACAGTATGATCCAAATACTCGATATAATATATAATATTAGTGCAATCCATTCTTCAGTTGATCCCGTGCTTGCCCCTCCGTGAAAGAATTCGTGATATTTTTCGTGTTGTATGCCTTGTACTTCAATTGCGAAGCCATATTGGGATAAAATAGATCAAGTTCTAGTCCACTTGGATATTCTTGTGTCTTATTATTATCATCACATTCTGGTATGATAAAGTGAGCATTAAATTAACAAGTCCATAAGTTATAAATAAGCACCATTGTTACTTTTCAAAATGCCATCAGTCACACTGATCAATTTACAGCCACATCATAATCAGCCCCTCAATTATAGAATGTTCACTTTGTCTGGTTTTGTTGCAGCCTGCCCCAATTATACTTAAGCTATTATTTTGGTATAATTTCTTTCCTTGTTCATAAGTTACTAGTGACAGGGATATCGCCGGAAAAATCGTGTTTAAAAAGAATTCGGCGAGAACTTTAATCACTCTAAAAATGATTAATATTAAGGTGTTTTACAAATTAAAGTTACTCGCCTTGTAGTTATCCCTTCTATTACTGTGAGCACACTATGTTTGAGAACCAATTCTATTGAACTTATTGAAAAAACCTCTATGTATCCCAGTCTCTTTATAACCGCATTTTCATCAAAAGTGTATTGATCTCTATAATGTGAGATTTAATATGTAGCCGAAAATAGTTAGTATTAGCTGTGAATACACCTTAATATTAATTGAGCGGGCACCCGTTCCTGGTTAATAATTGCAAAATGTATACTAATCTACGTCAAGGTTGCAGTTTAAAGAGTATTACTCTTATTCAAAATCAAACGACTTTAACCTGATGCTTTAGTTTGTAATTTATAATGTTTCACCCAGTTATTATTTTTTTTGGTTACAATTCATCCGATCACGTGAAAAATTTTTTCTGAAATCTCCTATTCCATCTCGCGCTATCAGTATCTATTTAACCAAAAAGAAAAAAAAATGCTTCGTACAGGCAGATACACAACTCGACTAACGAGTTCGTTGTTAAGACGAAATCTTGCAACGGTTGTCGATTCTCCGCCTGTACAAATATCAAAGACAAAAGCTGGCCTTAATGTAGTCAGCGTAGGAGGTAGAGTAAGAAAGACCGGATCGTCATCTGGAGAAGTATGGTGAATTATTAACACTTTAGTCACATAATTTAACCGAGATAATTACCATTAATAAAGATGTTACGCCTGCTTCATCTCTGGCTATTGTGGTGAAGGCTGGCTCGAGGTTTGAGACGACCGAAAACGCTGGTGTGGCACATTATCTGAAGAACTTTGCGTTTAAGGTATTTTATCGGAAGACATTTGTACAGGGATTAAGGAAAGATGGCTTAAAACTTCGAAACTTATTTGTTCTTACGGAGAGACGTTTATGTTGATATTATTTCGAAGGGTTATGGAATTATACGAGTATTGAGTCATCAGCTATGCTCTCTAAAAAACACATATAGAAAACAACCAAACGCAGCGAACTGCGTCAAATCCGTGAAGCCGAACTCTGTGGTGGCGTTTTATCCGCAAATCTGACACGAGAATATTTGATACTCTATGCTGAATTTCTACGAGAAGATCTGTAAGTCTTGCACACGTTATCGTCCCAATTATGTTTTCGCTGCATTAACTCACTCTATCAATTGATTGCTTTTGAATTAAAAAAATAAAATAAAAAAAAGTCCTTTTTTTGCGGAGCTTTTATCGGATGTTGTTACAAAGACAAAGTTTGCGCCATGGGAATTTTCTGAAATTCGAGAGAAAATACAATTTGAGAAGGGCTTAGCAGATAATACTCCAGAAGTCTCCGTCTTGGAATCCGCCCATAACGTTGCATTTCGGAACGGGTTAGGAAATCCCTTGTTTGCTAATGAAATCTCAAAAGTATCAAGTGTAGATGTAGTGAAGTCATTTGCAGACAAAGTATATACCGCGGGTAATGTGACTGTTGTGGGAACTGGAGTTAATCATGATCAATTGAAGTCTTTAGCAGAAGAGCACTTACAAGATTTACCGATCGGGACTAGCGTTTCTCCGACCGCTACTCAATATTTCGGCGGTGAGGCGAGAATTACCAGTTCGTTACCCGATGCTCATTTTGTATTGGCATTCCCTGGAGCATCAGCTGGATCGTCCGACTTTGCTTCTTTACAAGTCCTACGTTTTCTTATTGACGGTGATAAGCATGTCAAATGGGGCGAAGGCGTCTCTCCTTTAGCAAAGACTATCAATAAATTGGGGCATGGCACTAAAGTCAGTATGTTCAATGCTGGGTACTCCGATGCAGGGTTATTTGGTGCGCACATATATGGATCACCAAAGTCGGTTAATGCCACTGCATTGGCGGCAGTAGAGCAATTGAAGCTTGCGGCAGAGACAGTTAAGAAGGAAGATTTACAAAGAGCCGCTGCTAAGGCTGCGTTTGAGACAGCAGCGTCTTTTGATAGTCGATCCGCTAAAGCGGAAATATTTGGTAGTCAGGTAAGGGCCTCAATGTTGAAGACAGATAGCGAGATTGGGATTGTTGAGACAGGAGGGAAAACGAAATTGACGTGATTTGCTTGCATATTTGCCTTATCGTGACTAGGCCCTGTCTGGTAAGAATAGTTCCATCACTAGTGCTATAGAACAAATTAAGAATGTCAAGGTTGAAGACGTTCGGAATGTAAGTGCCGAAACAGATTCATGTTTCTGCTTTTTATTTTGGTCCTTATAACTAAAATACACACTTGCTACACAGATCGCTCAAAAGGCCATCAAGAGCAAACCAACTGTTATAGCTCTCGGTGACACTCAACAACTTCTTTTTGCTGATGCTTTATCAATTTGAACAATTGTTTACATTTTGCCAATAAATCAAACAAAAATCAGTCTACAAAAATCAAAGTGATCCCAAAGTTAATATTGTAATTGTAAATTGTTTGGCATGATATAAAACGTTTCGAAACGACGACGATCGACGCGTGTAAGAGAGGAAGCCCTTCAGCAGAAGTATCAGACTAGAATTGTCGGATACTGCTACCACGAGGGCAAGATTAATTCGGGCATTCACATCCTATATACCTGCCTTGCGCTTAGTATTAGCGAGCAGGGTCTCACCCTGATGCCAACATATTGTAACTATGAGTTTTTGTGGCAGTGATGAATTGCATTGTCCAAATTCATCCTACCTACGCGCTTACTGTATCTATTTCATTCCAGTAGATTAATTTATTGGGAACGTATGTGTTTCTCACAAGTATTTGAGATTTAGACATTTCATTGGAGGTAAATTATATATTTCTTGTGTCGAATAATTCCAAAACACGAGTGATTTCCAAAAGGTGTGATAAAATTAGCTATTCAAAAGCTCGCTATTTATCACTCTGAGGTTGGAATGAAGGAGATTAAAGAGAAAAGCTTAATAACGCGTGAATATAGTCTCGTTGGCGGGTAAAGTTATCTCTTATCAATAACTGTCCGTATAAGTATTACATATCAAGAATGTCGTGGGAGTATCCTGAAAGAACGTTAAATGTCCTAGTTGATAGGTCTACCTTACTGATCATTAGATTCTGGGATGCTGAAACTACTGATTATTTAAGCATATTAATATGGCGTTTATAGTAATATTTCCGTGAACCTTCATATACCAATGCCCTGTCTACCAGTCATGCTGGTGTAACTATGGAGAACTGGGTTTGCACTTGTCATAGAAAGAGCAAATTGCGTATGATCGGCTGGCATGTGGCGACTGTCTTTTGTGCGGGAATATCAATTAATAATAATAGAAATATATACAGGACATCACCGTATTAGGATATAAACAGTCCTGATTTTCGGGCTGGTCTCAAGGAGTCAAAGCAAATGTAATGAGCAGAGAAAGTTTGGGTGGATTGCTAAACAAACCATTCTCCTTAAGATGAAGGGCCGTTCAGATGAAGTTTCTAACATAGTTACATACAATTCTTAGTGCGAGCACGTGTAATAGTGCGGCAGATTTAGGCCCATTGACTTTGGACTTGGATAAACTTTTCTACTTTCAAGACAGCTGTTAAATTAAGCCATTACAGAAGAGTATAACTTTATGAAAGATCGTGTAATAAGATTTTAGTTAATTAAACGGAATGCGTATACAGTTCTATGTTATTCCGACTTGGTGTGCGCTTCCGCTTTGTTTATCGATTTCCCCTAGTGCAGAAAAGAAAAAGGTGAAGATTAAGATGAAAAATGATATGATACTCATTCTATAAATTTCTTTGAATGTTTACCTTTCCGTTATAGGAATGTGGTGATGCCCACTCTAGCAGAAACAATAGCAAACTTGTGATCAAGTAAATTTCCTGGGTGATATCTTGTGATTTTAATGTGTAATACAACGTTACAACTGTCGAGAGTCCCCAGACGTAAAATAACGGAAGAGCTGGTTTCACTATTCCTTTGTTCTCAAAGTGATATATGATTACCGTGATCAACTACGAAAAAGGCGAATGGATAAAGAGTTCAGAAAGCGTCAATGAATGCTATGACGTTCACAAAGAACAAACACTACACAACTCTTTTAACTCTGTAAATCTTACCACGACTGTTAGCAGAGCTCCTGTGACAAAGACTTCTGGAGCTGGATGGCCAAACGTGTACTGTGCAATATATTTCACAGTAAACAGAACCGCCAAACTATTTAGCAAGAACTAGTTTTACAAAGAAAATATTTGTGTGAGAGACAAAGCAAACATATTGATTCAGGCCATCATCAAAAACCACTCTTCTTGATAACTAACTAATTTCGCTTGCACAGTGGGAGACTGGGTAAGAGGCTTGGGAGGAATGTACCACCCACCCCGGCCACTTCGATGTCGCATAGTGTATAACGCACTTGGAATGACTGCGTATATTACTAGAATCGCCGGTATTGCGACAGTTCTATGGTGAATTAAGCAAAAAAGTGTGTTTGTCAAATTATTATCACTGTTACCAAAAGACGTACGCGAACAGCTTTGGTTCAGACTTTATAACTTACACGTCTGCAAATGTTAGTTCTGATATGAATTTGGCCTATAACAAGATAGTCGACTTTTGGTTAAGAAATACTGAAACTAGGCTTAACCATCTTTCCAATAGAATAATGACATAAACATACATACCCATTCTTCTGGTAATCTTGACACCAAGCTTCCCAACATGATGGTATTTTGCGATAGTAAAATAATAAGGATAGTATTTAATGCTTTGCCTTTCTTCTCTATCGATTAATTTGAAAAAGACTCTCTTTACCAACTTATCCCGTAATTTATATGATTGCCATTTGCATGTGGTTTTTAATTCTTGATTTGGTAATCATTACAAACATCAAATAAAATAGAGCTGTAATAGTAATCCGTAAAGATCCGTTCTTGTTCAGCAAATTTATTATATAAGGTTCGGATTTGGCATATCTCATTCCCGGAAAGGGATCAATGAAGTTTTTTCTGTTAACAGATGGAGAAGTTGCCTTGTAAGGATGATCGACTAAAAAATCCGACAATGTCGGGGCGCGGTTCACTCCACCCCGTGATACGCTTTATTTTTAGGAAACAAGAAACTGTCAACTAGGCAGAACAATGAGTTTACGATTTAAACGAGACTTTGATCATTTATATATTGTTATTTCCAACTAATTAGAAAGGTTTATGATACATGATTGAAAGAAAGTACATACTACTCGGAAATGATGTAACAGTAGTCAGTGAAATGTATATAAATATATACTCTCTAGCAAAATAAGCTGATAGACGAATGCAAACGAATATCTCCGCTATTTAAAACATGCCCGAATATAAAATCTAAATCTCCATCAACTCTTAACTGTACCGCTGTGGTTCAGGAAAAGAAACAGCTCCCGGCGGTGGTTGAATTTGTAATGGATTACTCGCGGGCTGTGGCGCTGGTATAGGTTGAGGTGCTGGTATAGGTTGAGGTGTCGGCGCTAATTGTGGCGATAAACTAGTCGGTGGACTGCTGTAACCCTTGTATTCGCTTACTGGCGGAGTGCTACTTCCTCCTATCGCGGTGATACTTTGAAACCTCTCTTTATCTTGATATCCTACCGTTCCATCTTCCAACGACGATCTCGTAGAGTTAGAATGCATTATATCATCCAATCCACTATCATTCTTGGCAACAGGCTGTCTTCTATTATCGTACCATTCCTTGGCAAGCACACCAATCGAACCTAACCATGCCGCCATAGCAAACCATCCAAAAGCAGTACTTGCCCTCCCCGTCGTGCACGTTCTAGGTAAGCCATTCTTAAACGAGTCGCCGCTTTTATTTAATATTTCTGGGAAATCTTCTGGGTTACAGTCCCGTAATCCAAACTCTACGCTCAGTCCTATCGCACATACTAACAGCAATGAGGCCCATATTGTCGATAGCACGAATTCATATCTGGGATGTCGCATCGCTTTCGCAAACGCCTTGAATTTGCCGTATTGCAGGTAGGCGTATGGAATTCCGGCTATCACTGCTGCAGTCGGCATCGAGAGTAGGACTATGAAGAGAGCAAAGTTTGCCATAATCGAACTGGAAGTGTGAGCGTTATCAAACGCTATAACAGCAGCAATAGTTGCCATTGCAAAAAAGGCAAAGAAAATCTGTGCTCCACGGAAACTCCATTGGAGTTTAGTTATTGGAATTTCTAGTTTATCGTATCCGCTTAGTGACATTGCGCGATATGTGTGTCTTGTAAGAAATAATAATCACAGTTGTAATCCGGATGCCTTTATGTTGTATATCGACGTTCAAATCGTTGTTTCAAATCGATACTATTTTTCTTTGGAGAAGCGTTGTATTAATAACAAAACCCCTATCAAGCTTTTGTTCCAAATAAGGATAAGCCACGATTGAAGTCCATTCTCTCTCTGGCACTGCCCATCAAATTATATACATTTATCAGATGGCTAAGCGCAAGCTAAGCCTTAAACGTAAATGAGGTGGCTTGGCTAATTTAATCCTTCCCCCCTTTCCGTTGATTCATTATAAATTTGCCTTTGGTGGCTTTGTTCGTTGGCTCATGACTCGTGCTTATGCTTATGACAGAAGATAGCTGGTTGGCGTTTTTTTTCCTTATTTATTATAAAAATGCTTTCGAGCCCGTTTTGTGGAATGAGTAGCGGGAAAATTTCCTAAAAAGTAATCTTTGGAGGCATCTATTTAAGCAAAGCCTGGGATGAGATCAGTTGATAATAGTATATCACGTGACGAAGATTTGGAGTTCATACATCGAGGGTTTTATTCTTTTGGAGCTGTTGAATAATTCTAGTACATTCTCTGTCTTTCCACTTCCGAATGCCTACCGATACTCTCAAGCGATTACGCCATCATCTGCATTATTACACGTCATAGCATATTGTCGAATTATCCCGCATTGTTTGTGACATTGAGGAGTTTGAAAAATGTGCCAACAGTAAATTTCGAGTTTTTCCGCTTGATTTCATATCCCCCCACCCAAAGAACAATTTCTGATAGTAAAAAAAATTAGACAACTTTTAAACTTTGACTGCTGATAAGCTCGCGGTGACAAAGACTAGGCGTAATCACGTTAACTGTATTCAACGACACAACTCGCTCCTCGCGTCATCTCAATGTCAACCCAACCAACGCCGAACCAAGTCCATGCAGCCGAACAATACAAAACAAGAGGGAATCAATATTTCAGTGCCAGGGATTATGACGCTGCAATAAAAGAGTATACAGCTGCAATTGTAATGAATACAATGCTTTATTAGGTTTTTTGATTGCTTACGTTATTATTGCAAGTGGGAAGAGAAGCATAGATTAGATTAGACGAGCGGGTTGCTTATTGATGAATAAGGTAGAAGGAGAAGTTGGAAGCGATGAGGAAGAGAGAAAGCAACAAGGTTGGCGGAATGATAGTTAAACACATAATGATTCGCTTAACCGCTGCATGGATCCCACCAACACGCACACGTCCTCTTTCTCTCTCTTCCATCAGTATCCTTATATTTCATTTATGTTCATGCTACCTCGCGAGGTCTTCAATTGTGCAACCTCTTCTTCAAGATAGTATTTAGTGTTTGTAGTTAGTTGGTTGCCAAGCATACTAGTTTTATTTTATCACGCATATTAACTAACATTTCTTTGGTCTTTGCCTGCTTTAGAATCAAAACCCAAACATTTCCGTTTATTTTACAAATAGAGCACTATGCTATTTGAAGGTGAGTAAATCGATTTTGACGTGTGGTGATGGCAGATCCGTCAAGTAATATTTATTTCCCCTTCCTCATCTACAATTTTCTTGGGTTCTCAAACTATAGCTAAAAAAATACGATCATGTAATAGCAGATTGCGAAAGGGCAAATAAGCTTGATTCAAATTCTGGTGAGTAATTCCGATTGCGTTAATTACGACTTTTTTTTTTTAAAAAAATAAAATATTAACCCGTTGATTATTGGTTGTAGTGAAAGGACATTATCTGGTAATGTACGATGATCCGAGATATAGAATAAGGTGTAATATTGTTTCTTATTCATCCAATATTACATGATCATAGCTGGGACAGGCGTTCACAGAAAAGTTACGTACAGAAGAAGCGGTCAACGCACTAGAACAAGGTAGGAGCTTTATTTATTTCTGTAATAACGAATCCCAATCCCAATCCATACGTCTCTAGTAACATCGTCCTTGGACTTTTTTTTTTTTAGCATATGAGCTAGCGGTAAAAGCAAATGTAACCTACTTGGGAGATATAATTCAAGCACTACTCAACGCCCGCAAGAAGAAATGGGAACTGTCAGAACGAGAGCGAGAAAAGAGAGAAACAGATTTGTTAAAGTATCTCAAAGGATTAATTAATACAGAACGGGAGAGGTAAATATTAATTTCGCCATTAAATTATATGACAAAACCGGTTACGTTGAATGTTAACGTTGAATGCGGTACTGTAGACAACTTCAAAAAGTAATGGCCGTAAAGAACCCTGTTGCAGCTACGTTTTCAAAGTTTGTCAATAACTCTACTGAAGTTGAGCGGCTTGATGCGATCAATAAAGCACATGACGAAAAGTTGTCGGCTCTTGAACAAGTCTTTGCACAAGCAGATGAGAATATGGGGGTGAGTATATTATTCCAGGTATCCATCGGGATTCACGGGAATCGCTCATATAACCATCATACGTTTTCCATAAACCTTGTTTTTGAATCACAGCGTCGCGAAGTCCCTGAATACTTTTTAGATAAAATATCGTTCAACGTAATACACGATCCCGTAATCACACCTTCGGGTATAACCTACGAACGAGCACACTTGAAAGAACACTTTAGGAAGATAGGCCACTTTGATCCCTTATCACGCAAAGAATGTACAGAAAGAGACTTGTATCCAAACTTGGCGCTGAAGGAAGCCATTGAAGATTTCTTGAAAAAGAATGGATGGGCTGTGGATTACTAGGTGGTAAGATAATGAGTGCGGTATATCACGTGACCATATATTAGCATCTTGTATTAGTTATTCATTAATTATTATCCTTAATTGATTGTCGGCTATTTATTGAGCTACCGCTACCAAACCAAATAACACATAAAGTATAATAGATTATTGGGTCTGAGTAGCCAGAATATCCGAGTCACCTTTGGAAAAAATTTTTAATCATAATAAATATTATGCAGCAGTATTTTAATTAAAAAAAAAAAAGCGAGTTCTCTCACCTGGATCGGTTATACTCATCACGCACACGCGGAAATATTTACCGCACGCGGTTCCAAGGTCAACGTTGTCTACCAATACAGAATTCGAAACAATGAGATGCTGACGTTGCAGAAACGAAATGACATTGATAAACTTACTTCCGGCATAATGATGTACTGTAGTCTTTGCCAGCATGGCATAATATTCCAATTCATGCTTACGAAGCGGAGGACAATTACCAGAAATGATTACGAGTTTAGCTATAAAACAAGATCAAATGATAATAAGCTACATATCATATACAAAGCACGTTATCAGATGACTTTTAATAACGTTTATAGATTTTTACAATCACATCTGCCTAATATTTACGCTTATTATATCCAAAACTATCCGCATACCTTTGCCCTGTCGGAGAGCCTTTAGAGTAGATTTATAGCCGAGGCAGTATTTGCCACTTTTCATGACAAGTGCCAGGCGTGAATTTATTGATTCACTGGTTTTCTTTGATTTCTTTACAGCCATTGTTTTGGTTTAGCAGACGTCTTGTAATGTGACGAGGGGAGAAAAGAATGAAACCGACAAAATGACGTTAATGCGTTAATACAATAGTCTGCGCATACGGGAACCGTTCCAGATCTAATATTACGAATTTGCGAATTTGTCTTGCATTCGGCCAGAAAACTTTGACTTCGCTGCTTCTGCAATTGACAACTCATCACCCTAAACAAAACTTAATTCCTGATTACATATAATACATACCAGCAACCTACCGACAAGGATGAAAGCAAACGCTCATACAACAAAAGAGAAGGAACTTGCTTTGGGTCACCGAAAGGTTTTCATTCGCGAAAATTTTCCAACATTCACATGACAAGATTGTGGCGAGCGTAAACGCTATGTGGCGTTATTTATCCTGATAAGGAAACAATCTTGCAAGCACAGTCATTTTTTCATTATTGTTAAAAAAGGTGCCCAGACCCCCCTTCTTTCGACATGCAATCGATAACACCATTCGGAATTTAAACATTTTACAGTCATTTATCCCGTCCTCACAATTCATTCTCTGGCATAACTTGGGTTACGCAGTCGCATTGATATTCTGCTAGTTGGTTAATCTTCGATAATTGTGACAGATTATGAAACTTTGAAATGCATTATTAGTCATTATTTTTTCCTTGAACCAGTTGTTGTATTTACAGCAACAAGTATATAACCTAAAAACTCGAGACATTTTGTATATCCTTTTTTCTTGTTTGACCCGTATACATAATCCAAACAAAAACACCACGTTTTTTATTTTAAATCTGTCACAATAAATGAAATCACGTACATTACCTTGCTCGGTGAGCTATGGCAATCGTGCCCCTAGAATTACAGATTCTCGTTCCTGGGCCTCTGGCTTTTACAAAAGAACATTACGGGAGCGACAAAACATACTGATTCAGGCTTTTCCCGAAGTATTTGGTCGAAATTCTTTAGAGACAAAAAGCCTTGATATGAACAGTCTGTCAGTATATACGACTCCGGATACGTCCTTTTGCCGCTCCCCTATTGAAGTAGATCCTACATATAACAACAATAATAATGATAATAATAATAAACATAATAATAGCATAAACAATAATGAGGCTGTTGACAATGATAATGGACGCTTTAATCCTGAGCTGCTCGAAGAAAAGCTCACCAAACTGTCAACACCAGATTTCCCTATTCGTGGTTTGAGCGAAGAGATAGCAGATAACATGGTTGAAAACTGTGTCGGGTAATTATCAATATTAATTTTCATCTTTCGTTGATGATATTTTTATTCAATTTTAATAGCCATCTTTTCTTAGGACGATCGGTCTCCCAGTCGGGCTTGCATTGAACTTTGTAATAAACGACAAACCTATTGTAATTCCAATGGCAATAGAAGAACCTTCGGTAATAGCTGCTGCTTCGGGAGCTGCAAAGACAATCAAAAAGTTTACTGCAGTTGCTCCAGAGAAAAACATGATAACTTCTCAGATCGCAGTAACAAATATCCCGGAATCAAAAATGGACGATGCCATCACTAATGTAATGACTGTAGCAAGATTAGTCTAGTCTTGCGTTTACAATTATTTTCATATCATGTATTTCTAAAGTCTTTTCTTTAACATAGAATCTCACACATCTTTCCCTACCCATTTTATAGATCCAAACTCACAAACATTCCATAATTTCGCTTGCAAACACGTTTGTTCCGAATATGATCAAACGCGGCGGCGGCGTTAGAAATATTACCACCCGACGTATTCGTCGCAAACGTAACCCACATCCACGGCATGTCGAATTATGTCAAGAGAATTTCACCGAATGGCTAATCGTTCACGTACAAATAGACGTATGTGATGCGATGGGAGCGAATTGCGCTAATGCAGTTGCAGAGGGTATAGCACCGAAAATTGAAGAAATTACTGGTGGAAAAGTCGGCCTAAGAATCGTTAGCAATTTCAGCACGGAAAGAATTGTAAAGGTAAGAACAAGAAAAATTATTGTTTTATAAGACGCGTAATTAATAGTATTCTAATGATTTTCTCATACCTGCAGGCATCTTTTCGTATTCCAGTGTCGAGTCTAGGTTATAAAACCCATACTGGCAGATCCGTAGCCCTCGGTATAGTTCAAGCGTACGAAATGGCACAGATAGATCCATATCGTGCAACAACACACAACAAAGGGATTATGAACGGTATTGATGCTGTTGCACTAGCCACAGGGCAAGACTGGCGAGCCATTGAAGCGGGGGCTCATGCTTGGGCTGCATGTAGAAATGAAATTGAAAGATACGAGCCTTTAACCACGTACTGGATTGAAAAAGAGGAGAGAATTGAAGAGAATGGTCAAATAGATGATGCAGGACTGTATCTGTGTGGAGAGATAAACGTACCTATATGCGTTGGCACTGCTGGCGGTGTCCTGGCGACCAATCCCGTGTACAAGTATAATTTGGGATTGATGGGAAACCCTAATTCGAGTGAGCTTGCTATGGTAAGTTTGGTAAAGTGAAGCAATTACGTGGTTGTAAGCATTTTTTAAACGTATACTCTTATTTTCTTATATAGGCAATGGCATGTGTGGGATTAGCCCAAAATTTTGCTGCCTTACGCGCTCTCACAACCGAAGGCATTCAGCAGGGACATATGAAGCTGCATGCCAAGAATATCGTCATAGCTGCCGGTTGTCCATCATCTGCCATCACTACTGTTACCGATAAGATGGTAGATACTGGAAGGATTTCCTTCGCGGCTGCAAAAGATCTTATTGAGACCACCGCAAAAAAGGGTATGGAAGTAATTAAGAATGGAGAAAAAAATTTCGGAGAGATTACGGCGTCTTTGGAATGTTCGCCGTCAGTTCTCGTGACGCTTTGGAGAACGGAAATAAATAATAAAGTGTGAAGTAGCGGTAAATGACCGTGAATTATTTCATGGACTTTCGGAATTTGAACATTGATATTAATAACTAACGTATAGCATAGAAAAGGTTCCGTTGCGTTGGTGGTGATAAAGTTACTTGGTTCATCATTGCTTTCAAACAATAGATGGCGATTCTTGAAATGGTTGTCATTAGATGTTGCTAGTTGGAGCTACGAACCTCTCTCTTACTCTGCCGTCTTGTCATATGGGTTATGCTGATACTAAAATGCAAATCCATTTGCAAACGACGCGGAATAAATGCCGGTAACTCTTTACCATAGCTATTTTGTAATGGGAGCTATACACCCTTCTATAAGCAAATAATGGACGTTATTGGTTCACACTACTGTTACTTTCAATGACGGAAACTACAAAAAAGTCTAAGAGTTTTTAACTTAATTAAATGATTAACAAATGAACTCTAAATGACAAGACGATCTATAAATGACTTGAGAATTAATACGCCACACAATATTTATAATTCACGATAAGATATGGGAACAATTTCGTATTTAGTAAAAAGTTGTAGTCTACAGTAATGATAACAACGAGACATTCGAACGAATAATACCCAATTCCCCTCGGTTGGTGATTCAAATAGGCGATCTCTCATTGAAGCTTCATTTACTGTTGTTCTGCTGAATAAACATTAATACAGTCGTAATATCAATCCTTAAAAGGAAGATCAAGTGTTTGTCGATTTTTGCATTTATAGAAAAAAATAAATCTATGGAGTCGGAAATACGTTTTTGCCAAACCAATCAATTATACAAGACAAGCTCGCTCTATAACTGGTCGTCAATAAGTTGGTCAACCCATCTTGGATCGGGTCTAGACAATTAGCCAAAATCTCGGAGACGGGGTATTTTGTATGACAAAGAAGGGCGATGTGTACAGATCCAAAGTTACATTCCATAATTTGCAACACGCACGCGTTGAAATAATTTCGTATTTTATTTAAATCATTTTACCCGACACAAAATTTCCCGTGTTGCGAATATTATCGACGATTGCTAAGTATAAAATTATATCTATTTATTCCGGACAACATTTGACAAAGTTTGGTCCTCTGCATTTGCCCGCTATTAAAGGTTTGGAACAAGTAGTCGTGTCCGTGTCAATGCAAGTACCTTGTACACCATTGCATGGTGTTCCGACCGCAAAAAAGTCAGGATAAGTTCTCAAATCGTAACTCTTATTAGGGAAGAAGCCAACGTTAAGAAGTTTCGCCGGACCGGTAGAGCCATAGCTGATAACTCGGTTTTCACCAACGTAAAGAGCCGCGTGACTATATGGACGGTTTCCGGTTCGATATAGAACAACGTCCCCCGGCTGTGCATCATTCAAAGAGACTGGCATTCCGTTATCGGCCAATGTTCCAGTATAACCACCCGTCCAGCGCGCTCTGTTAAGATAATCAGGATAAGATCCAAAGAGGCTCCAATATAACCAAGTAACAAAGGAACTGCAATCGGCATAAGGCGGTACGTCATCTGAGGGACATATTCCATTCGCAATTCCAGACCAGCGTCGTGGGCCTTGAGTGTAATTGATGATTTTTCGGCTATTCACTACGTTGAATGCCGCCTCTATGAGACCTTCACGAGTTGCCGGAAATCCGGAACATTTTCTAGGATCTCCGCCGAATACAAGTGGTAGTAGAAGACAAAAAATAATAAAGAGTTTCATATTTGTTTATGTATTGAAGATGTCTGTGAAGTTGAACTCTGTTGGAACGCGGGTATTTATCGTCAAGATGGATACAGCTTTGTCGGCCGATTTTGTCATGGCTTTTGTTTTGATTTCGGACAAACTCCTTTTAAGCCTCGATCCTCCGGAGTCAAGCAATTGCGAACTAAACTTATTTACCCATGTTGTAATACCAAAAGGTAATATTTGTGTATATACTAGGCTTATAAACGCTAGACTTACTGATAATAGAAACCTCTTGTTTTTGCGTTTGTTATTGCGATTATGGCGCGGATTATTTATTAGTGATTGGCGTTCGGGTATAAGTTGGGAACCGACATTGAAAATATTTCCAAAAACATGGACAATGCACAGTATTAATTGATAATCGCGCAACCAAAAAAATACAATTGGCCGAAAATCTGAAACAACCGAACAGTTAAAGTCATTGAGACCGAAAGTGGTATTCTGTTGTGTTATCAAAATGGTAGAGAAAGATATTTGAGAAAACTTATAATGGAATAATGGACCAAGAGTATTACGATTCCTTTGACCATTCAACTTCATTGATAGCCTTGTATTGATGTTGTTTTATGGGCTATAACTGGATTAGTGGGAGAGAAATAGCAATCGATAAAGAGACTACAAAATAGCTATAGCACAAAAAAGTCGAAAAAAAGGTCGGCGAACTTTGCAAAATCAAAACCCAACTTCAAGCATAAACAGAAAAAGTAGCCAACTAAATTTACCAAGACTTACAACGAAGAAAATCTTGAACGTCGAACGCAAGTAATTATCTTTATTGTTATTTGTTTAAAACACGCTTCGCGTAATATGATTTCACCTTCGACTCTTTACATGTTTAACTACTATCATAGTAAAATATAGTTTCAAAGGTGAAATGCTAAGTTTTAATGTTTCTGGAAACTAGCATGTAACTGAAGAACTATATGCGTCCTTGTCCAAGCATTCACACTTCACGGAAACAATTCAGCCTCTCTTGGGCAAAATTACGGAAACAACAATTTGCAAGAGATTATTAGAAGTTTTACGAATAACTAATTAAAGATTACTATGGTTGAGAGTTGAAAGGATGCTTCGCTATTATATTACGATTCTGCAGCACACCCACACTTGTATCTGTCAGCGATGGTAGAACAATCAAATTCTTCCTTGAGTAATCGTCTATTGACAATATTGTGCACGGCGCACGCCCATTGCGAAGCAGCTTCACGAGAAGAGACTTGTGGTGGATGCTTTTCAAGAATCATTTGAAATTCTTTTGCACTACAAAACAAATCGTATCAGTAAGCTTGGCCACATTTACCAAGCATACAGGAAAAGTTCATTGACATACCACTCGCCACACGGATATAATCGACTGAAGAGATAAATAAAACTTCGCAGTGCCGTTTTCTGATCTTTGGTAGGGCGTTCGGGAAAACGTGCCATCATGGTATGTAGAAGCTGTTGATAATTAATCAGATTGTCGTCAAATAGATGCATATACGGTGCGAGTATATACGATTTCCTACCTTCCAACTGCTTCTACCTAACTCGGCTCTGGTCAATCAAATAAACGCTTATTAGTATCATCGCCAGCTAAACTAGTACGTTCAAAACACACAGTCCTTACATACTTTATCGTAGCGTTTCCTAATTTTGGCATGATTACTTCTCCGTGGACACTATTCTGGTCAACATTCTCACTCAAATGAGTAGGAAACTCTTCCGTATAGTCAAGAGGGTTAATATTTTCCTGATATCTGCTGTTTAAACTGGAGTTGAAGTAAACCAGTGTGGGTATTATCACTAAGAAGGTAATAACAGTCAGGCCAACGATTCCTCGCATTATGTGCATATGTGGATTGTTGCAACTTGAAACAAAAGAGTGAAAAAGTAAACAACTCGTATTTAAACAAGGTTACTTATTATTTTGCCGTCTTATATGATTATTGAGTCATGTTCTCACCTCTATAGACGAAATTTAATATTAAATGTTACACCACTGTTGCACGCTTAATCATTGTTCAAAAACTTCATCCATAACCTACTTCATATAATGGCAGACGATGGTTCGCAGAATTCAGCTGCTTTTGAACTCACGACAGATGCCACAAAGCAACCGACTAGACACCAAAATGAGTCCGAGGATACAGACAGATATTTTGGTTTCCAAGACGAGTCCCGTAGAGTGTCGCTTAACCTCGATGACTCCACGCGGGCAGAGTATGATCAGCTAACGCAAACTGCTGCTGAACTGTTAACGGCAAGACTGTAAGTATTTTTGAATGAGCAAAGGTAAACAAGCGCGTATAAACACGCAAGTGTAATCGAGAAATAAGATGAAAACAAATTTGAAATAGTGCTCCGAGATCCTTATCTTTATTTTGTACGTGTTTTTTTTTTTTGAAAAAGAAAAATAAAGTTTATTTAAAACAAGAGGACAGTTTTTTAAAATGTGTGTATTAATATCATTGTTGTACTTGTGCCTTGAGTACTTAGTAATATAATATGCCATGAATCCCCCATTTTTGCAAACAAAATAACCCTGATCATAGGACAGACATGGACGATCTAACGTTCAAACGTAAACAACCAGGACATTCATCCAGCAGCCGTCTATTCTCTCGGTCGGATAGATTTCCCAGTAGTGAACCGCTTGCTTTGAAGGGTGGTCATATTTCGACTACGTTGAGAAAACATGACGATGGAGAATTCGATGGTGACTTGGTGGATTGGACTATGGAAGGGACTGGAAGGAGAGTGGCATACGATGATTTTACTACAATAGGTGTGATATTCTGATTTTTACTTTTATCTCGAAGGGGTAACATGTGTGTTATTGGAACGATGAATCGAAATGAAGAGATGGTTTTTGATCGGTTTGTCGTTTGCATAGACTGGATTCATGATTTCGCCAAAGAACGTGTTCGACAAAGAAAGCTGCGTTCCCGTAAAAGTTGGAAAGGGCGATTGGCGTTGATCTTTGATGCGACAGAAGGTTGGATTGTCGTCTTACTAGTAGGTAAATTGACTCATCCGTATATGTATTATTGGTTTCGACAATGCGATGTCGAGATGTAGGTTATCATACTTTCTCTTTTTCTAGGTATCGTTGCAGGAATTTTGGCTGGAATAATCGGCGTAACATCCGAGTGGTTGAGCGACATTAAGGAAGGCTACTGCAGTACCGCGTTCTATCTTAATAGGAAATTCTGTTGCTGGGAATTAGGTTGTTATAACGAAGCAATGTTTTTCTCTGATAATAAGGATTTTGCTTCCGATATTTTTTGAGAAATCGCCGATAACTTTTTCAAGATACATACCTGTTTCCTAACGTATTTGGGCCTCTCGTTATGTATAGATGATGCATGTGCTGACTGGGTTCCGTGGAATGAAGCTCTCCAAGCGAAATCATCGCGTTCGATATTTTGGACTAATTATATTTTTTATATAATATTTTCTGTAAGTTCTATGATTTGTTTGAAAAAGCATGTTTTCAACGATGTGCAGCCAATACTAATATGTTTGCACATCTTTAGACGGTGTTTGCTGGTGCTGCTGCGTACCTTGTAGACGTATATTCGCCTTATGCTGCTGGCAGTGGTATACCAGAAGTAAAAACTATTCTGGGCGGATTTGTTATTCGAAAATTTTTGGGCTGGTGGACTCTGCTTATCAAAAGCATTGGTGTGGTGGGTTTACAGTTACTGTATGGAATATAATCGTGTGTTGATTATATTCTGAGTATGATGTTAATGAATAGGGCGTATCATTATTTCCTATATGAAAGTGCCTCGTTGTTGCCTCAAATCTTTGTTTAGGAAAAGAAGGTCCGTTAGTGCATTTGGCATGCTGCTGTGGTAATATCATTCCTCGCGTTTTTTCTAAATTCAGATATAACGAAGGTATGGTTAACATGAACACTATGACCGATATTAGTATCCTTGTTTCTAACATTGATTATATTGTCGTATGCTTGTGATTCATATAGCCAAGAAGCGTGAAGTATTATCAGCGGCAGCAGCAGCAGGCGTTTCCGTGGCTTTTGGGGCTCCAATAGGAGGTGTCCTATTTAGCTTGGAGGTTGGTAAAGATTAAACAAATTTGCATTCATTGATCATAAACAGCTTTTCTAAAATCATGCAAATACTAGGAAGTGTCTTATTACTTTCCCCTGAGAACGATGTTTCGAAGTTTTTTCTGTGCCATGGTTGCTGCAGTTTCTCTTGAAGTACGACTTTGAACGCAATTCGGATGCTTGCTACGAGCGATCTACATACTAAATTAAATGCTCGCCCTACTTGAACATATATAGTTCTTGAATCCATTTAGAACGGGAAAGTTGGTGCTCTTCCAGGTAGTCTATGACAGAGAATGGCACAATTTTGAATTAATTTTTTATGTCTTGTTGGGAGTTATAGGTGTAAGTATATAGCGTAATGATATATCTTTGCCAAAATATGGTTTATGACTAAACAACATTGTCAATCCAACAGGGCTTGTACGGAGCATTTCTCATTCGTGTCAACCTAAAAATAGCAGCCTTTCGCAAAGAGACTTGGTTACGCTACATCCCTGTACACGAAACCATTGCTGTCGCACTGATAACATCGGTTATTAGTTATCTTAATATATTCATGAGGTGAAGAATCGACGGGTTTATTTGTGATGATGTAATCTGGTATGTTTGATCTAACGCCTATTCTGTGTCCGTAGAGTTAATCCCTCTGAACTAGTTGCCAACTTACTTCGTGAGTGTGCTGGTGCAGATTACCACGATCTTTGCAAGTATGTACTTTGACTTTGGAAACAAGTCTGTTAATTATGCATCATATGAACGAGTGACGCTCATCTTCTTGTAACGTTTACTAGTCATGATAATTTTCTAAGAACATCCTTGTCACTCATCATTGCCGCCATTCTCAAGTTTTTCATAACAAGCATATGTTTTGGAATGAGAGTACCAGCAGGCGTATGGCTGCCATCGATGGCAATTGGGGCATGCTTTGGAAGAGCTGTTGGATTAACCGTGCAGGCATGGCAAAGGTACATCCTTAATCGCAGCAACTCGCATTTTGCTTGCCAACGCTATTAATTCACACGCATTCTAAAGAGCATATCCAGCATTTTGGTTGTTTTCCTCTTGTCAGCCCGACGTTCCCTGTGTTACACCTGGAGTGTATGCTCTGGTTGGAGCTGCTGCTGCTTTCGGTGGTGTTACCCGTATGACTGGTAAGCACCCCTAATAGATCAAGTTTCTAAACATTTATTAGACGTTTTCGCTGATAATTGTTTCGAATTATTTCATACAGTATCGCTTGTAGTAATAATGTTCGAGTTGACAGGCGCCTTGACATATGTACTGCCGATTATGATAGCAGTAATGATTAGCAAGTGGGTCGGGGATGCATTTGATAAGGAAGGGGTATATGATGCATGGATTCGCCTCAATGGATATCCGTTTTTGGATACAAAAGTCGAATATATATGGAATACACTCGCTTCTCAGGTGATGACCCGCGTTGAAGACTTGACAGTAATTACTGCGACGGGCCATACCATACATAGTTTAGGTAATGCAAAAGAATGACCGTGCTTGACATTCCCATGACAACATGCACAGACAAATACCCTAATGTCATTTTTTTTCTTTCTCAGACGAACTACTGCAAGACGTAGATTACAAAGGCTTTCCTGTCATCAATAACGGCAGGGAACTCTTGCTAATTGGCTATATTTCTCGTTCGGAATTACGATATGCGTTGGGTATGTATTGTATATATTGCGACATTTGAATTCACTTGAAATGTTCATTCCACCGTTGTCCATATGCTGTACTATAGACAAGGCTAGAAAGAAACAAGGCGCATCTGCGTCAAGCCCTTGTTATTTCTCTAGTAATTTGCCCATTCTTGATTCGATACGCTTTGTCGACTTTCGACCATGGATGGATCAGGTATAAATGTCTTGGGTAACTGATGTTGATCTCGAGAGAAACATATTAAATACCGTTCATGTTACTAGACTCCCATTACAGTCTCTGACAAGTTTCCTATGGAAATAGTCATCGAGTTGTTCAGAAAAATGGCAAGTTTGCATATTGATTTCTCCGTCACGGGGCTGCAAGGAAAACTGAATTTCTTTTCCAAACTTGGTAGGGGCTTCGCTATATTCTCGTCACCAAGAACGGCCGCATTCTTGGCCTAATCACAAAAAAGGACATCTTACGACATTTGGCTGTTATGATTTATCCGAGATTGTTGGATGGTGATGATTCACATGAGACTCAAAATCTCATGCGGTTGCCTGAGCGCAGAATGTCCAGTTATGTAGGAGATTTCGGTATCGACTGATTACACTATTATGGCTTAGCACTTTGAACGGGTCCAAGTTGGGCAATAGTAATAGAGAATCTCCCACAGCAAGGATAGGGTGTGGCGAAATGCTATATTTGGGCGTTACTATAGAAAGAAACATTGTTTGTAATTGTATTATTTATAATAGGGGATGGAAAGTCATATTCCTTAATTGGTATAGGCGTTGTAATAAATGACGCGCCAACGTAACTGGATATTTACGCGTTTTGTAACATAACCAATCAGAATGTGCATTGAATGTCGTGAGCATGAGTTTTTCATTTCCAGAAAAGGGATTATCACGTGTGGTACACCGCACGCGCAAAAAAAAATATAAACTAAAATTTTTTGCAAAATCGTTTCCTTCCCCGTTGTCAGTAGGGCAAGGAGGGCACCAAGTTTTAATAAAATTCCACACATTTCATAAGCAAATAAAAATGAAATACGTTTTGATATTGGGTGGTGTAATTTCGGGTATTGGGAAAGGCGTTATTGCGTCCTCCACGGGGTTACTGTTAAAAACATTAGGTCTAAAGGTGACCGCAATTAAGATTGACCCTTACATAAATGTGGATGCTGGTACTATGAACCCTATCGAACATGGTGAGTTTTCACATCTTTTTTCCGCTCTGGCTTGGGTTTTGTGTAGTTTCTATGTTTGATAGATATGAAATCAGTAAGAGGTGTGATTTCTAGTATATTCGGTTTGTATGAATGAACTAGACGCGTTTCTCATTCTTTTACTCTGGTCGGCATATAAATTTAACCAACGAGTTTTGTGTGTATTTTTCTGTTTCTGGAGCTAACTCTTTGTAAACTTGCCATCCCGGTCAGGTGAGGTATTCGTTTTAAATGATGGAGCCGAAGTGGATCTCGACCTCGGGAACTATGAAAGATTTCTTGATGTAACATTAACACGGGACAATAATATCACATCTGGGAAGATATTTCAGCATGTCATAGAAAAAGAGGTCGGATTGCGTTCTATATGTTTTTCTATTCATTTGTTGAGAAATATTTTATCTGAAATTTGGTTCTGTCAAAACAGAGGAGAGGTGATTATCTGGGGAAAAATGTACAAACAGTCCCTCAAATAACCGATGCAATTCAAAGCTGGATTGAGCGGGTTGCAAGAATTCCTGTGGACAAAAGCGGCGAAATACCAGACATTTGTATAATTGAGGTTCGATCACTTGCTATACCTTTCCACGATATATTTCTTTTAGCTCAATTCCCCAAGCATACTACGAGTAGATCATTTACAACCGCACGATTTTTGGGGGTCTTGTAGTTGGGAGGCACAATAGGTGATTTTGAATCGGCTCCATACATAGAAGCATTACGACAGTTCCAATATCGAGTTGGACAGGAAAATTTCGCCGTCATTCAGGTGTCTCTGGTGCCGGTTCTTGGTGTGGTCGGTGAGCAAAAGACGAAACCTACACAGGCTACGATCAGGCAGCTGAGAGCTTTGGGTTTGAAACCTGATCTGGTGAATATGACATTAACTTTAGATGCAGGAGAGCCGACGGGCAAATTAACAGTCCCCTATTGATCTAATGTTTGACCAACTGATTGCGCTATCAGATTGCTTGCAGATGTTCTGAAGAATTAGAGGCTCGCGTTCGCTCAAAGATTGCTCTCTATTGTCGTGTGGAACTCGAACAAGTAATGACTATGGAAGGTGATTTGATTTGAGCTGTTAAACATACTAATTTACAATGTTTTGGCAGGTGCTATCGGTCCAAGATGTTGCATCAACATACCATGTACCGCTACTACTTAAAGATCAGGGTATATTAAATTATCTGACGAAGCGTTTCAGGTTGGACTGCATCAACATTACACCTGAATGGCAGCGGAAGGGGAGCAATTTACTACGGTTCTGGAAGAAGTTGACTGTCGAGTACGTAAACGTTGAGCAGATTGGCATTTGGCGATAAATTATTTTAGCTTATCATTTGTTGTCTTTAGACACAGTCGCTCTCGAGAAACAGTTACAATCGTCCTAGTGGGAAAATATACTTATCTTCAAGATTCGTACATTTCAGTCGTTCAGGCTCTCGAACATGCCTCAATAGAATGCGGACGTAAACTGGTCTTGAAGGTTTCCACTCGATATTTTATTTGTTGACCTGACGTGTTTGAATGCTGTCCTATGTCTTTATGTTTATCTTGTATAATCTATTTCTGAAGTGGGTAGAGGCTAGTGACCTAGAAGCTGAGACGAAAGAAACAAATGCTGAGAAGTACGAGGCTGCATGGGATACGATACGCTGTGCTGATGGGATCCTTGTTCCTGGTGGATTTGGGAATCGTGGTACTGAGGGTAAAATTGCAGCTGTCAGATATGCAAGAGAGAAGAAAGTTCCATTTTTAGGTAAATCGTTTTCCGTCAATATACGTATATGGCGTGTGAGTAGCGTACTCACTCGTTGCTTGCATCTTGTTAGGTATTTGTCTTGGATTGCAAGTAGCAGTTATCGAATTCGCACGTCATGTATGTGGCATTGAAAACGCCAACTCGGAGGAACTAGATGCAGAGGCCGTCAATAAATTAGTTGTGTATATGCCGGAAATCTCGCGTACACATCTCGGCGGTACCATGAGATTAGGCTTACGACCGACGAGGTTTACCAAGGAGAGTGAAGGCTGGTGCAAAATCCGTATGTTTGGTTACATTTTTTCTTGGATTGAACAATGTTGCCAACAGTGTCGTAATTCAAGCGTCTGTTTCTAGGCAAAATATACGAAGCACATCAGTCAATGGGTACCATAACAAAAGAAGGCAGCATGGTTGGAGTCAAAGAACGTCATCGTCATCGTTATGAAGTTAACCCAGAGTATATTCCCTTGTTAGCAGAGAATGGACTAACGTTTGTTGGACGTGATGAGACGGGAAAACGCATGGAAATATTGGAATTACCAGGTGAGATAAACGTTGAAATGTTAGCATCCAGTTCAAGGTATATTAATCGCTTTTTTGATGGCAGACCATCCGTTCTTTGTGGGAACCCAGTATCATCCAGAATATCTTAGCCGTCCACTACGACCTGTGCCCACATTCCTTGGTTTTGTGGCAGCGTCTGCTGGATTGCCACTAAGTTCTCTATTCTCTAAACATTTACCAAATTGAGTGTTTTAATAATCAATTGTGGCGCATCTAATAAGAATGTAAAAGTCGAAATGACGGATTTTCACATCGAGACTTACACATAAACTTTAGACTTATTCTCCTCGTCTTGTGATAATATATTATAAAACTAATAAAATCCAAACATTATGCCGTGATCGATAATGCAAGCTCAGCTCCTTTCTGTATGACAAATAGATATTCACGTGAGTGGGAAAAAGGTCTCTTAAAATTTTGGATGCGTGATTTTCGCGCGAAAGTTTTTCAAATGGCCTTGATCCAACCAGAAGAATTAAAGCTCATCGTTCACAGTCCTAGAACTGGACAGAGTGGCGGCGTTGGCCGTGTTGCAAGACGAATTTATTTGCATGTTGATACAATGAAAAGATGGCGGATATGTTCAGGAGATTACATTCTAATTCGGAGAGAGAATGTAGGTGGAAAGATACATGTTTCTACGATGTCGTCCAAAGCTGTGCTAAAGTTGAAATAATACAGTCAACAATGTCTTCTGCAGCTATCGGAGTTGCTTGGCCTTCTTTTACAATACAGGTGGACCGTACGTCACGTCCGAAAGCTCTTGCACCATTGATTCTATTGTTGAATCGTGAGCATCTTACTTAAACTGTCTTATTATATTAAAGAAATTCAACTTAGTGCCCTTCAACGGGAAAACGCAGATTTACAGCTTGGTGATACAGCTGTAGTCACTCAGGTTGGTAGTGATCCGATGGTTGCATCGAGACTCGTCTTGAATTGTATTCAAGCGACAGATTTGAAAATTGATCAACTGCTTACTATCTACGCTAGCGAATACTTGGGTTGGTTTATTATTGATTTCTTTATTTAAGCTCTACCAATGTCAACGAACAACGTGACTAATAGTTTGCTCGTCTTTTATAGTTGATCAAAGATATTTACTGAAAGGAAATAAAATAGAACTGTTTTACAACGGAAAAATTGAACCGTTTCTTGTCGAAGAAGCCAAACCCGATAGCGAGTTAAATGAAACGAAAAGCGTATATCAAATAACACGGGAGACTATTATAACAATACGGAATGCGTCTACAGACAATGTACATGTAAGTCTGCACTAGTCACCTGACATTGTTTTTGAGAAGAGACATATATTGACATTATATTACACTTTGTAACAAGAGATCCAATATACGCCACGAGCCTAAAACGACTTATGCCTCGATAGGAGGCTTAGATCAACAATTGAGACTCATACGCGAGTTAATAGAGACTCCTCTACGCAAACCTGAACTCTTTACACAGTTTGGCCTTCGACCGCCAAAGGGGGTGTTGCTTTATGGTCCTTCTGGGACGGGAAAGACTTTGATTGCAAGAGCAGTCGCCGAAGAGACTGGCGCCCATGTCATATTAGTGAACGGCCCGGAAATTATGAGTAAGTTTTACGGGGAAACGGAGGAAAAGGTTAGTAAAATTTTTTGGTGTATGAGATGTGCTTGTATTAATTGCAATACCGCAATATCTATATTGACAGTCTATGACCGTTATACTCATAGCTTCGCGATATATTTGCTGAAGCAGGCGAAAATGCACCAACGATAATCTTTATTGACGAAATCGATGCTATTTGTCCAAAACGCGACGAGGTACGCGGCATTGTATTCATATTGTGACCCGTTTATCTTGTACAAAATTTTGAATATTAGTTTTAAACGATTACGTATCGAAAGGCATCAAACGAACTCGAAAAACGCGTCGTAGCAACCCTACTCACTTTGATGGACGGCGTATCCAACAAAGACTCATCCAATCGTCAAAACCAGGTCGTGGTCATTGGTACCACTAACAGACCAAACCATCTAGACGAAGCGCTCAGACGGCCTGGACGATTCGATAAAGAGATCGAGATTGGAATTCCCACAGAAGATGCAAGATTCTCGATTCTAAACGCATTATTGAGTAGCATTCCCCACTCATTGTCGTGTGATGAAGTGAGACGACTTGCACACAAGTCACATGGATACGTTGGAGCTGATTTAGCAGGAGTATGCCGGGAAGCAGGGATAAAAGCAATCAGACGATGTGTCCAAAACAACATGGGAGATGACGTGCATTTAACGATACAAGATATGGAACTTGCATTAGCTGAAATACGGCCAAGTGCCATGCGAGAAATTTTGCTTGAGGTTCCAAAGACTTACTGGTCTGACATTGGAGGTCAATCGGATATAATACAAAAGCTCAGAGAATCAATCGAATGGCCTTTGTCGCATCCGGAAGCTTTTGCAAGATTGGGAATTCGTCCACCAAAGGGCATTTTGCTGTATGGTCCTCCCGGGTGCAGTAAGACGCTAATGGCAAAGGCGCTTGCAACCGAAGCCGGTTTGAACTTTATTGCTATTAAGGGTCCTGAAGTACGACAAATTTTGAAATCTTAACTATTTAATATATCTGGTGTCTGTTGACATTATAAAGCTGACGGTTTAATTTTGTATAGCTTTTTAGCAAGTGGGTTGGTGAATCTGAAAAGGCTGTTCGAGAGGTGTTTCGGAAAGCAAGAGCGGCGGCACCATCTATTGTGTTCTTCGTAAGGAGAATCAGTTTGTCGGGTATTGTATGTCTCCCTAGTCAAATATGAACCAATATCATTTACCCGATTTCAACGTACTAGGATGAAATTGACGCGTTAACTGTTACGCGTGGTCTTGGTGACTCTGACGGTGGAGGAGCGTCTGTTGCTGACCGCGTTCTTGCTCAATTGCTGAGTGAGCTTGACGGAATTGAGCCCTTAGTGAACGTTACGATTGTGGCGGCAACGAATCGACCTGATATAATTGTAAGTCAATGACACAGTGTTTCGATCAGTTTTGCTGATTATAAGATTTTGACAGCTGTACTCTCAAGGACTCTGCGCTCTTACGCCCGGGACGAATCGACAGGATTCTGTATGTTTCTCCACCTGATTTAGAATCGCGTAAGGAAATATTTAATATTCAACTGCGCAAGATGGCCACAAATTCCGATGTGGACGTAGAAATACTGGCTCAAAAGGTTTGATATTTTGTTGTTGTTTGAAAAAAAAAAGAAAGAAAAGAAAAAGAGAATATATTCAAACACATGTCAATTATAAAGAGTGAAGCATATTCTGGTGCGGAAATTGTAGCTTTGTGTCAAGAAGCAGCATTGCTCGCCATGGAAGAAAATATCGATGCAGCTGAGGTACTTTTTCGAAATATCAAATTACCGCCGTTTATGGATTGCTGGCTAATGTGATCCAAATTGAATGTAGGTGTGTTTTAAGCACTTTGAAAAAGCATTATCTTCGTTCACGCCGCGTATTACATCCAAGATGATTAAATTCTATGACGACTTTCGTCGAAAGTCTGGGTTGCGGAGTATCTAAACAAAAAATATTGCACTGTCGTAATTTATTTAATTTCATAGAGGTCAATCTCACTTTTATTTTGGCTAAAACTAACCTTTTCTATAAAAAACTAATTTTTGGACCATTATTTCATCAATTGTCTAAATTAAAATGAAATATTAACGTTTATTTAATACGCAGTTAGATTTTGAAAATTTAGAGAAAATTCATTTGCAGCAATCACAGATAACAAGTTATGGTATATTTTATGCGGATGCATATATGTTGCGAAGTTTTCGTGGCTTATCCCGTCGGAACTATTGCGCGATAATATTTAATCATTTTACGATTGTTGTGTTCTGGCAAAGCAGAAAATTGGTTTTTTACTAATTCAGATTTGAGTTGATAAAGTGATTATTCGGTTAATATCGCCGTTCGATTGGTGAAGAGAACTTACAAACGGATACGCCGAGAGTCAAAAGCGCTATGACAAAGCTGAAACACATTTTCGAAGCAAGCATCAACATTGTCATTACAAACATGGAGTTTTGCAGTTCGAAAAAACTCAACCAAATTGAAGAGTCTGGACTATGTGTTGGTGGTCTTACAAACATCAATTACAGACCGCTTTCTGATTTTTCGGTAGTAATGATGGAAACTTAGATAATGAATAGTACAATTCTTAGAATTTGCTTAGATATTAATAAAACTACAATACATTGTCGTTAACAATGAAATTAACTGTTGTATTAATTTAACTATTACTATTCATTCTACCAAAGTAACTAATTTACTTTGTTTTTCTTATTCAAATATTCACGTTGATAAATAGTTTATAATATATCGGACGATCCGTATTTCATCAAATTGATACGCTGCTAGAATTCACTACGGTCTTTTCTTCTATTGGTAAACTGGACTCGTTTTCTCCAAGATTTGCTGGCTTGGCAACAAGACCTAACAAAGTATTAAAGACGCGTCAATAGGCAAACAAAAATTGAGGATGGAGGATCAGAAGGCTTTTCTTTCTCTTACCAAGTATTCTAAACATTTCTTGATCTTCGTTGAAGGCATTGTTCGGAGTCGTCAAAAGAGTATCACCAGTGAAAATAGAATTTGCACCTGCAAAGAAACACAAGGCCTAACAACGATTCATTGATAATGACCATTTTCAGTATATATACTTTGTGAAATGTTTAAGTTGTCATAACATTTATCACCTGCTCGGGTTGAGAAAACCGCACACGTCCAGCAGAAAGCCGAACCATTGATTTTGGCATGATTATTCTTGCTGTAGCAATCATTCGAACCATCTCCCAAATGGAAACAGGCTAGCAAAGAATTTGTCGCCAGTGTATTAATATCTTGAAATCATTTCTTATTAAATGCAGGTCTCAATGCCTCTTTATACCTCTTGTTTCTCTAGGGGAGTACCCTCTACAGCCAATAACGCATTGATCGGAACCGACTCGGGATGCTTCGGCATTGTTGATAACGTATGTAACATGCTGATGCGGTCTTCTGGCGTTTCGCCCAAACCAATAATTCCCCCAGAGCATACGTGAATGCCTGCTTCGCGGACATTAGCGATTGTCGTTAGACGCTCATCGTATGAACGAGTAGTTATGATCTACAAAGATAGAGAATGTGGTGTGTATGACAACTTTGATTATTCGCAAACACGAACTTGATGAGAGAAAGTCACCTTTGGATAATATTCACGAGAAGTATCAAGATTATGGTTGTACGCGGTTAAGCCCGCTTCTTTGAGTGCTTTGGCTTGTCCGGCATCTAACATGCCCAAAGTGCAACATACTTCCATGTCCATAGACCTAACAAGATCCCAAAAGAAAAGATGCTCAAAACCGTTATGATTTGGAAAATGGACCAGGCAAAACATTGATGCGTTGAATGTCTGAAAGATTTTGTCACTGTACTTAAATCACAATCGCCTTGTGCATCTGTCAAAATAAAGATTGAATTTCCCCAATCCGGATATTGAGAAACCAAATCAAAAAGTGACTTGTATCATCAATATGATCACCGGCACAGACAGACTGGTATATATATGTCTTTGAAATTGCAACGAATTTATTAAAATAGAAAAAATTACAAACCTGCTTGAAGCACAAGAAAACATTAATTCGGCTACAGTGACATGACTTTTCAGACACCACTATAATTATAGTTTGAAGTGCTAACCTTATTTCCTTAACATATCCCAATATTTTGTTGAAATTTGATTTGCGTCCATGGAGGTCTCGCCAAGCCGCACCCATGCAGAACCTAGAGCCACAGAAAGGAATTCAGCAAGATAGATATTGTCAATATTTCATTCAATACAAGTAATTACGAATTATCCTATTTCTGTACGATTCTAACAGAAGCAATCCCTGTACTAGCCTTGTGCTTCCAGCTTCTTTAGCCTTTCTTGCCGCCACAAGAACTTCATCTGTGTCCATTAATTTTTGTGCTTTCACGGACGTTTTGTATCTAGAAGACTGGGGACAGTAAGAACAATCCTCTGAACAACCCCCAGTTTTGATGCTCAAGAGTGTACATTGTTGTACAGCGCGAGGGTCATGATTTTCACGATGAACTTTGGCCTACGAGACAAACAACAAAACCCATGGTTATGAATATCGGTGAATCATAATGAACCAACACAAGTTTGAAAATCTTGGCTCAATGATCGTCGATGGTAGACATTCATCTTATCATCTACTATTGCTAATTCTCTTTCAATTTAATCCCACACACTTACACCATAAAACAG